AAGGAAGAAACCGCAAATCGACGATGAAATTGATTTTCGTCAGCTCGGACGACGTTCACGAGCGAGCGAGAGGCGTTTAAGCTCCGTCGAACGACATAAATCATTCGAGACGCCAAATATTTATTCGCCAGCGGCCGTAATTCGTCCACTTGACGAGCTCGTCGAAAGAAGAATCTCTCGCGTTTCGGAATCGAGGATTTCGCGACGAGCCGCGGGATTCCGATTCTCTTAGACAGAATGTCGAGGTACTTTTCTCCTTTTTTTTCCCTTCTTCTACGATGAAACGCGCTTTCGACCAGAACCGATTCGACAAACTTGCGAAACTTTGTTCCACGCCGTCTAGTTCGGAATTAAAATTGACGAAACGGCCAAGTTTCGCGGAAAGAAGCGCGAAGAAATTGAATCTCTGGCTCGAGGGAATCTTGTCAACCGGGATTTCATTATGTCTGCGAATTGGACACTTTTTATGGGATCATTATGAAGGATTTTTCATGCAAAACGAAACTTTTTCTTCGACTTCTCGACAATGTTTAGATTTTACGAAAGTTCGAAAATATTTTCTTTAACACCAAACGTACCGACACTTTAGGTATACCTATTCTTACAGGTGATTGCCAAATGAATATAGGAAACAACGCAGAAAATAGTCTTTAGATAATAATTTTAAAATTTTTGTTTTCGACAAAATCAGGTTTTAAATTTTTAAATTTGATTCAAAACCGGTCATTTGACCGGGCGTGGTAGGTTTAGTGTTAAGGGGAAGCTGATGTATTTATTAAGAAAATCTTTCATTTTTAAATTGCAGAGATAATAAAAGTATAGCCTTTAAAATGATGATAAGAGGAGGTTCAGGGCAACGCCCATAACTCTGAAGAAAATTAGTATTTTCGAGTCGAACTTTTTTTCTTAGCTTCGTCAAAGTGGTTTGCACATATGGTTAAAAAATTGAAGAATTCCATCGAACAGTATAGTCGTAAAAAAATCTTGAAGATTGCCACCCTTTTTAACCCCGGCGCGTTCTTCCCTTTGACGGTGCGCTCCAGCTCTCTGGGTCGAAAAGGACCCAATAATGTTCAGAAATAGAACGTTTATTTTTATTACACAGGGTGTCATCGAACTGGCGGTGTAATGCAGTAGGGGTTGATTTTAAATGAGAAGATTAATTGAGAATATAAGGTGAACGTGAAGTTTATACAGTTTTATACGAAATTTAAATGGTTTCAAAGGGTGAAATCGATGGAAATGGTTTCCGATAGAAGAAATGAGAAAAAATAAAGAAAGTTTCACGTTTGATTCAAAATTTCAGTCTAGTATCATTTTAAAATCGCATAATCAATATTTGCGACAACGAACACTGGAAAAAAATTGCATTCATACAAAAAACAACATAGATAACCTCAAAAAAAAATTTTTCCATCTTATCCACTCGTTGAAACCATTCAAATTACCTACAAAAATTTCTCTTTTACTACTTTTACTTCTTTTTCTCAATATTTGCGCAAATGCATATTTTTATAAAAATAGAAGAGGAAAGAGGACCTTAAAAAAAATTTAGTTTGCCATTACAGAGTTCCAAAATAAATATATTCTTTATTTTGCACAGTTTTCCTGCACAAAGATCCTCACTCCACTCGTGACCAAACTTTCCACTGTAAAACCTAAGTGTATTCCATATTTAACGAATTTCCCTTAGCAGAACTATCTTAGAATTTCCCAAGACACGTAAGTAAACGAAGAAACGACAGAATTCTTATCGTATTACATGACACGAAGCAATACAACCTATAAACTACCATTCATCGTTCTACAATAAATGCAAAAAAGGTTACTCCGAACGATTTGTATAAGATCGTTCTATCGTAACTCGATGACATTTCTCATCGTTACGAGCGATCAGAATTACGTAGACGGAATATTACGGTAAAGTATTACGGTACAGTAAACAGAGCGAGAACGTTCAACGATTCGTAAAATTGTCGGGATTGTAAGTTGACGATGTTGAGATCGTTATCGAGAAACGTGAAGTTCAATTAATATGCTTGCTGCGAACCCGGTTACGTAACACACAGGCGAAATATGGAAGGTGGAGAGAGAGAGAGAGAGAGAAAAGTGGTATTGAAAAACGTGACGCGAAAAATGATCGGACCGAGAATGCCACTTTGGACGAATTGCGGCCGCCATATCGCTGTGTCGCGATTTCGGTGACAATGGTGATGTGAAGTGATGCATAAGTCCTGTCGCTCGATTTCTTCGAAAAAGAACCTATACCGCTGCTGTTTCGAGGGGAGATATATGACACGAAATGTTTTTCTTAATTATTGGTATCCTTTTTTTTTTTCACTGGTAAGATGTTGAAAAAATTGCAGGGATATTGAAAATAATAAGTGTTGCGATTTTATGAGTTTTATAGGTGGTTGCCGTTGCTACATTTTTAGGAAGAATTGAAGATTTTTTGCGAAATAATTTTGTTCGACGAAAAATGAAAATTGTTTGCATGAAATTTGAGAATATTGAGAATTTTTGGCAATTCGCGAAATTACGTGGTGAAGGCACCGTTCTAAGGAAAAATGTTGAAAATAATAAATATTATGCTTTTATGAGTTTAACAGATGGCTACCGTTACTAAATTTTTAGGAAGATATAAAGAATTCTCATTAATAAATAGTGAAAATTATTTGCATAGAAGTTGAGAATATCGAGAATTCCTGAAAATTCGCGAGATTATGTGATAAAGGCACTATTCTAAGGAAAAATGTCAAAAATAGTAAATATTGTGAATTTAATAGGTAGCTAATATCGCTAAATTTTTATCAAGAATTAAAGAATTCTCTGTGAAATAATTCAATTTAATAAACAGTGAAAATTCTTTGCATAAAATTTGACGATATCCAGAATTCCCGAAAATTCGCAAAATGAACCACGGTGAAGGTACCATTCTAAGGAGAAACGCTAAAAATAGTATAAAAATATTAAAAATGATAAATATTTTGAGTTTAATAGATAGCTACCATTACTAAATTTTTATAAAGAACTAGTGTTCTTCGTGAAATAAAAATTGAACAAAAATTGACAATATCGAGAACTCGTGACAATTCGCAAAACTGCATTGTAAAGTCACTGTAAGAAGAGCTACTGTTCAAGAAAAGTACAATACTCGAGGAAAGTGGCGAACCAACGAAGTGTAATCAGATAAGACGAAGAAAATCCATAAGAAGAAATTTGCATTAAAATGCAACGTGTTTGTGGTTGAATAGTGTATCCTCGTGTTTCACCTCAAGCTCGACAAATTCGAGGAGTATTTTTACAAGGCACAGCAGCCGGTGTGAGGGAGAAATAGGTGTTGCGCAATAATGTAACAGGAAGAAGATAAAGACATCAGCGAACTTTCATCTTTCTTGCTTATTATAAGGCAATTTAGAGAAGGAAACACTTGAATAATTCTTTCCTCGTAGAAACCACACGGTACTGTTTTTTCTTTTTTTTTTAATGGCAAGGAAGAACGATAAATATAATACCGTGCAAGTTACATGAAAATAGCCAATCTCACGGAAGAGAATACAACGATTCTGTACAACACTGTATATACAGCAAAATAACGATAAAGAAAAACAAGGAAAAAGTTTGTAAAAAGTGTTGCACGAAAGAGAAATTATCCTCGGTAACTAATACAATAATATAAATTTTCTGTACCTAATTATTTCTTCTTTTTCCTATTTTTATTATTACGTAGGTGAAACAGTCTATTTTTCTTTCCCTTTTTTTTTTTTTTTTTACTAATTATTCTCTGGACCCTAATTATTCGCAGAGAAATTCTTCGACTTACTTGTCCCCTACAAGGTAATCTTGAAAATTGAATTTTTAACACGCGTTTCCCAGTGGATTCTTTCTGCACGAGCTTGTACGGGCAACCCACTAAAAATCTCGTTATCCGACTTGGTCTGGCTTCCAGAAAAGGACGAACTTCGTCCACCAGCAGCTTCGACATTCTAGCAACTTCCCGCGGCCACAATGAACCGCGTGCGTCGCTATACTTCAATTAGACGTGTTGGAGTTCTAATCAACTTCTCTCACTCACTCACTCACTCTCTCTCTCTCTCTCTCTCTCTCGAATCATTGACGTCTTAATCTTCCCGAAATAGAAAAGCTCGATCATTGCTCGGAGCACAAAAGACGCCGATATCGGGCTGCAAGTGTAGCGTCGGTAAAATTAAATTGCCTTCGATTAAACTGAACACGTGAACTGCACGAAAGAAAGAGCGAAGGAAGACCGAGGAATTTCTTTGAGAAATTCCCTCGTTGTTTCTCACTTATCAACATTTCATCGATAAAGAAAAACAGCTAATTCGATTATACTTTATTTCTAATTTAATTTTTTGTGTCTTTTAAATACGGTTTAAATTCATTAGTGAAAAAATAAAAATCAACAAAAACATTCATTTTCGTGAAAGCGAGAAAGTTACTCTCGTCTTCCCCGATTTCCTGTTAAAATTAATCACATCGTCAAGCAAACGTGCAAATATATCGTCGAATCTCACCTGCGTCGTTACGCAAGACACGTTATCGCTTCCCATCTGAAAATTGTAAAGCCTCGAAGCACAATAAACAGAAGTGCAAGTTCGCGTGCGATTCGAAGGTGTACACATCGGCATTCATCATCGTCACAGAACACCGTCGATCGTTCTCTGTACACGAACGACAGTGCCTCGATTGTTGCAACGCCATCGCGTGTCCGCAGCGCAACAGCTCGAACAACCAGACATAGTAGCTTCATACATACGCGATACAACACAAAGAGGCCGATAGAACAGTAGAAAATAAGACAGTGAGAAAACAACAACAACAACAACGACAAACAAAAGCGTGAAAAAAAAAGTAGAGAAGAAGAAACATCGACACAACTAGAGAATCGAGCAGAGAGAAAGAGACGACCGCGAAGGAACATTGAGAAAATTCAAAGTATACGGAACAAGAGGCTTGCTCCATTCACCAGACGTACCCACCCTCTTGGAGGTCGAGCCTCGGTTCCAGGCAGCAAAGCTGTGTACGACCGTATGTTCTGCTGCGGCACGGTCAAAGTATCCGCGTCCTCGCCGTTCCCATTTTTATTGTTGAAGCAAGAGTCCACGGACGCGGCGCGATCCCTTTTCAGCTCAGGAACCGTCAAGAATATATCCCTAACGACGAACTTGCACTTGCCAGCACCGACGTTGCTCAAATCTTCGTCGTCGTCCTCGTCTTCGGCTTTCTCCTCGTCTTCCGTCGAGCTGACCAACGTTGGCAGCTCGATAGGGTACGAGGTCAAAGCCTCTTGTCGCGCAAGTTTCGGCGAGGCGATCGACCTTCTACGCTGCCTCTCCGGGAATAGACCGCCTCTGACCTCGCTGGTATCCGTTGCCTCATCTTGCACCACTTCAGGAACGATCTCCGGGACCACAGGTACCACGTCTGGTATCTCTTTGTCGGGAACGTCGAGCTCTTTCTCGGTGAATGTCGTCAAGGTCACACGAATCTCCGGGCTACCTTCGCTTCTGTCCACCAATTCGGAGTCTTCGTCCTCCGAGGTGTAGTCCGCGTCGTCACCGTCGTCGTCTTCCCTCGACGAAGGATCGTCGTCGTCTCTGGACAGACTCAGGTAGAGGCTCTTGTACTCCTCGACGCAGGCACAGTGGTAACAGCCGGAGACTTGAATCGTCGGTGTCTCCGATCGTCTCACGCCACCGAAGGACTGTTGGCTAGAAGACGAACCGTAGCTTCTCTCGCACACGTCGAAGCTCTTCGAACGTTGACCGCTTTGTAGTTGCGGCACTCTAAGCGTCGCCGATCGCCTTCCACGGGAGGAATCCTGCGATCTAGCCGGCGAACAAGACGACGAGGAGGAAGACGTCGTCCTGGTAGATCTCACGTCTCTAACGTCGTCCTGTCGCTTAGCCTCCAGTTGTATCTCGTCGAAGGAGGCAGATCTGACTTGCTTAGGCACCTCGAGGCTCGACTGAGACTTCATTTCCGCTCCCGTCGGGGTGCGCGACCTCTTGAAGGTCGAGCGCAGCCTCTGCATCCTCACTTGGCAGCTATCTGCTCAGCCAGGACTCTATCCCGCCGATCGACAAGCCTAACCACGTCGACGATGTCCACAGTGATCGTCCGTTGGTCAGCTCCTCCTCCTCCTCTTCCTCCTCCGTCCGAGCAACGCAGCTCGAACCACGATCTTCACGCTTCTGAACGATCGTCGTCTCGCTGGGAAGCTCGATGATCACCTCGCTACACCTTGGCGACGAGGAAGCCGCCTCGAGCTGCCCGCGACCGCACCCTTCCACCACCTTCCACTTAGCTGCCGGTCTGCAGCCCATCATAAGTCAACTCGACGCCCGCTTTCGGCTGCTATCGCCACCGATTTAGCCAGATCCTGCTGCTTCTGTGATCTTGCTTCCTTCGATTTTATTTCAGTCAGTATCCTCTCTCTATCTCTTCCAGTAATTCCTTGAATAATCGCGTGTGTACTCTTTCAAGACTTTCTTCTGCTAGGATGATCGGTAAAATGACTTTACATTTCACATCGTTTCGATGAATTTTTACAATCACTCAATACAGTCACTGTTTTTAAAAGAAACAATAGTCTATTCTATTATTTTTTTTTTTAATCACTCGTAGTTCTTTTTAGACTAATAATTACACACTTGTTCAGTTCGTACCACTGAAAGAGTTCAATTATCATCGATAACTGTTCGTTAAAAAAAAAAAGTCTGCTCGATTGCTCCTCGTTGAAGTACCTCTCATCCACTGGTAATGTTCGATTTCGTTTGGTTTCACGCGAACACCGATGCCCGAGTCTATTTATATTTAAAGTCACCGTGTAACCTTGATCCCCCGGTAGAAGAATGCTCGATTAATTAACGACCACGGTCCTCGACGGACACGAGTCGCAAGGTCTGCGTAGCCTCCCTTCGGCGCAAGGGATCTCTATTTGCTAAAATTACATTCCGATCCGGGACATAGGCGACGACGCCACGTGGAAACGACGTCCTCGATCCAGCGGCGGCTCGCAGCATTTGCAATTTAAGCTGCTTTCCTTGTCCGACGGAATTTCCTCATCACTGCCTCCGATGATCACACTATCTCGAATTAAACACACCACCTTCGGCGCGTCGCGGGGATGATCTTTGCTCAAGGATGACTCCTCCTTAATTGTCGCGTTCGCTACTTGCTGGAATCTCGCGAGGAATCTTTGAAACACGTGGAGACAGGGAGGTCCTTTCTTTCTTCTTCGATGTAATTAACTTACGAATTCTTCATCGAGTAGCTTCTTTACCTTTCTCTTTAATTTTCGTGGAAGCGACAGGTGCGCAAACGCAGAGATCAAGATCGAAGTTGTTGAAAAATAGTCGGAGGCAGGATGCGTTCGACGAGAAGTCAGCTCGTCGATCCTGACGTTTTACTTACACCTCGACGGATAACAAACAGCCGATAATATCGCTCGACACGGAGACTATTATTCTCCGCGGCGCGTGTTGCGAATCCTTCCAAGACAAACAGTCTTCGTGTACCACGTGCGCAGATACTGTTGCTTTCTTCTTCGTTTAGTACCTTAACGTTTCACGATCAATCGACCCTTTATCGTGTCGCTGAATGACTCTTTTCTTCACATTTTCCTTGGGACATTCTCCAAGTTTCTAACAGTCCTTGTCCCAGTTAAATCGTCTAAAATACCAAAGCAGCTGATCGAGATCTGTATCGTCTAGAAACTCGACGAGTCTCTAAAACCAACGCGAACGTCGATTCTCCTGCCTGTTAGGAGACACGGAGAGTTCGATCTCGCCTAGAACCGGCGGAGGAATTGCAAGGATCGTTCTCGGGTTGACAGACCGGCGACAAGCATCGGGACATTGGTCACCGACGCGTGAACCATAGTCGAAGGTCACGCGTCACCGTCGACGACCTCGGCGAACCTCGACAACACGTGAGGTCGTCAAACAGCTTCGCCTCGCTTCTCTCTCTTGCTCTTACAGATCGAGACTCTCTGCTCTCGAGTGACTAGCAGCATCGATCGTCAAACCAGGCTTTCCAACAGGCCCCCGTAACTTAATTTCTCTCCGCGACGTAGCGGTGATTCGTTCGACTGAAATCCCACGAAACAAAGAAAAAAAGAAAGAAAAAAAAAAAGAAGAAAAAATCCGCTTTGCAGAGAGACCAACGACGACACACGGGATTAGAGACTACTGCTACCAACGAAGAGGACACACGCTTCTTTAAGCCTTAAGTTATCTCCATTTCAACCATAGGTTCTCCACAGTTTACAGGCTCTTGCCACGCTCTCTCTCTCCTCTCCCTTTCTCCAACGCTCTTTCAATCCGCTTCGACTCGATTCAATCCAACCGTCGCGTGCTGCTGAATATTAAACGAGCGCATCGTTCGAGGAAAGAACCTCTCTAATATCCTTCCAGGTACATATATACACGATCAACGAGGATCCACGTTAAAGCTACAACGCTGAACTGTTTCGATTACGATCCTCGGATCACCCTGTTGCGACCTCATCAATACACCTCATGTTCCACGCGTTTTCGACGCGAATCCTCCGGAACGAAAACAAAAGTCTCTTCCTCTAGCTATCCAACTTTCAGCCTCTACGTCAACATTCGAGGAATCTTTCGGACAAAACGGGTACAACGAGTACACCTTCCTTGCAGCGTGGGCTCGAAGCGTCCAACACCACGCGGTTCTAACGTGTCGTCGTCTTCTTCTCCGGGTGCACAACAGTTTGACCGAAGGAAGGAGGAGCGAAGATTACCACCGCGTTAGAGATCGATCATATTTGAAATTGTTCGAAGAGAGAGACACACGAGTGTAGAAGGGGGTCGAAGGAGAGGCGGTCGGTCTCGCGACGAAGAGGGAAACCGAGACGTGTACACGTAACGTGCCGTGACAGGGTAGACTGGTCGGACTAGTGACCAGGGCTCGGCAGTGGCGGATGCCACGAGAGGCAAAGTGGGGGTTAACACTGGGCTCTCGTCTTCGTCTAACCCTCGTCGTCACCCTCTTTCTCGCGCCCTCCTAGCCGTCGTCGGTCAGACATGCGCCCTCCGGACGGATTCCGCTTGTGCCTGTGTACACGGACGCGCGGAACGAGGGAACACCTATGCCACGGACGACGAATTGGAGATTGCGCTACGTGGCCGACTATCGGGGAAATGTGTGACGCAGGAAGGGCAGACACGTGTGGAGTCTCCTCTTCATCCTCTCTCCTTCTATCTGTCTTACACCGCTTCTACCAACAGATATTCCGCCACGGTGGCTGCTGCTGCTCTCTCTACCTCCTCATCCACCTCGTTTTGTACTCTATCGTCGTCGGGGTTGCGTTTTCTCAGCTTCTTCTTCTTCCTTTTTTTCTCTTCTTCCTCTTCAGTTTGGAAAGCAGTTCGCCAAAGTGGACGATGAATTTTTGAGACGAAGCTTCTGTTGTCGGGGATCTTGCCTCGAGACGAGAGAGATTGGCTGGACTATCCGAGGAGAGTTTAGGAGGATCGATTTTGATTTTGATGGCTCGAGTGCCTATGTGGTTCCGCCTGCTTCGATTAATTGGTAGTTGATATTTCAAGGAGATATGTTGTTTCTTGTGTCAATTTTTTATGAGATTCAAGAGGATTTTGTTGTTCTTTTTGGAGGAAGATCCTGTGATTTTCGTTCCGTTCGACCCCTTGCTTTGTGATTTTTTAAGGGTTGCCTGTATTAACGGTAGGTACTCGTTTTAATTATGCATCGAACGAGGAAGGTTGAGGTATTAGATATGCCGTCTGTTTCAACCCTAGGAATTATGAATTAGAATGAAGTTAGGGGTGAAACGAGAGATTATTACAAACAGAAATTAATTTTGTAACATCTCAATGATAACCTACGCCATGAGGCAAGGGATTAAGTGAAATTTCACGAATTCTTGAATTTCCTCGATTTTCGAAAATTCAAGATTCTTCGACCCGCGCGGAATCTTTCTATCACATTTGCGAAATTTACGACGCGTTTATTGAACAGGATCTTTCGATTTCTGAAATTTAAGACGGAACGTACGGAACTGAGAATTTTTCAATATTCTTCA